GGGATCAAGCCCCGCATCAGGCTCCCTGCTCGCCAGGAAGCCTGCTTCTCCCTCTCCCACTCCCCCTGCTTGTATTCCCTCTCTCGCTGTCTCTCTCTCTGTCAAATAAATAAATAAAATCTTTAAAAAATAAATAAATAAATAAAAAGGTAAAAAGAAAGAAGAAGACACAAATAAATGGAAAGATGTTCTGTGTTCCTGGATTAGAGGAATTTATTTTGTAAAAATGTCCATATGACCCAAAGCAATCTACAGATTCAGTGCAATCTCTATCAAAATTCCAATGGCATTTTTCATGCACATGAAAAATGCAATCCTAAAACTCTTATGAAATCACAAAAACCTCATAGCCAAAGCAATCTTGAGAAGAAAAGAACAAAGCCGGAGGCATCACACTTCCTGATTTCAAACATTAGAAAGCTATAGTAATCAAAACAGTATGGTACTGGCATAAAAACAGACACATAGATCGTTAAAACAGAAGTGAAAGCCCAGAAATAAACCCATGCATATATGGCCAATGATATTTGACAAGGGAGCCGAGATACTCAATGAGAAGATCATCTCTTCAAAAAAAAAAATGATGTTGGAAAACTGGATATCTACGTGCAAAAGAATGAAACTGGACTCCTACCTTACAACACTCACAGAAATTAATGCAAAACGGATTAAAAACTTAAGTGTAAGATCTGAAGCCATAAAACTCATAGAAGAAAATATAGGGGAAAAGTCCCTGATGTTGATCTCGACAATAATTTTTTGGATATGACACCAAAAGCACAAGAAACAAAAGCAAAAATATGAAAGTGGGACTACATCAAACTAGAATGCTTCTGCGCAGCAAATGAAATGATCAACAAAAAGAAAAGGCAACGTATGGGAGGGGGGAAATATATTTGTAAACCATATATCAGTTAAGGGGTTAATATAAAACATATAAAGAGCTCATACAAGTCAACAGCAAAAACAACAACAACAACCCAAAAGAACCAAACACAAACAACGAGCAAAGGACCTGAATATTTTTTCCAATGAGGATGTAAAAATGACCAATGGGTACATGAAGAGGTGCTCAACACCACTAATCATTAGAGAAATGCCCATCAAATAGCACCTCACATCTGTCTGGAAAGGCTATTGTCAAATAGAAAAGTTATAACAAGTGTTGGTGAGGATGTGGAGAAGGGGAACCCTTGCACACTGTTGATGGGAATGTAAGTTGGTGCAGCCACTATGGAAAACAGTACAGAGCTTCCTCAAAAAATTGAAAATAGAACTACCATATGATCCAGGAATTCCACATCTGGGTATTATCCAAAGGAAACAAAATCAGTATCTTGAAGAGATACTGACACCCCCATGTTCACTGCAGCATTATTCACAACAGCCAAGACATGGAAACAGCCTAGGTGTCCTCTGGCTGATAAACGGATAAAGAAAATGTGGCACATATGTACAATGGAATATTATTCAGCCATAAAAAAGAAGGAAATTCTGCCATTTGTGACAACATGGATGAGCTGGGAGGGTATTATGCTAAGTGACATAAGCCAGAGAGAGAAAGACAAATATATAGTATCACTTAGACGTAGAATGTAAAAAACAAAAACAAAAACAAAGTACAAAAAAAATAAAAAACCAAAAGTCAAACACATAGAAGCAGAGAGTGAATGCTGGTGGCCAGGGGCTGGGGGTGCGGGAAATGGGGAGAGGTTGGTCAACGGGTACACGCTTCCAGTTATAAAATGACTGAGCTCTGAGGGTCTAATGTACAGCATGGTGACTGTAGTTAATACTAGTTTATCAAACCTTTGCACACTTTAAATTCAATTCTATTTGCCAATTATACCCTAATAAAGCTGGAAAAAACAAAGAATTTAGAATCAGGAAAAAAAGTGTTTCTTTTGATTTGATCTTTTCTTGAATAACAGGTATTATGTAACCCTATTATATTTCCCTTTTTGCCTTGGTTGCTAGGATGCTCAAAATCAATTAATAATTAATTACTTGCAAGTAATTAGTCTTCGTGGCTTTCATCCTTCTTCATTTGAAGGTTATTGCATTTGTATGTTTCTGTAAAACTTTCTCTAATCCCTCCTTTCTTTCTCTCCTTCCTTCCTTCCTTCCAAGCAGTGTAACTTATTAAGTCAATCAACACGCTTTGAGTCTGGGCCACACACATTTCAGGACCACGGATTCCACAAGTTTACTCCTACCTGGGTGCGGAAAGAATCCTTTCCATTTACCATCTCTCAGATTTCAAGGGCACATCTCTGAGCATTAGGGTCAGTTCTAAGGGGATGGCTTCTCAGTGGCTAAGACCCTGGGTAGCATGGGGAGCCCGTGAGCCTGTGACAGTTCTTGTCGCCCACATGGCAGACGGAGCGCGATTTGGGGGTTAAAGGTGTGGATTCTGGCGTCAGGGAGAGCACAGAGGCTGAAATCCACCTCTGCCTCCAGGAACTGTGCAATCTTACATCTTTGAGCCCTGCTTCTCTCATCTCCACGGTGGGGTGATAAGGATATCGTGCAAGGGAGGCACTGGGCACAGAGCCTGATGTGTTTGCTGCACTGGGTAATGCACCTGCACTGTAATTTCTAGGGGCTGCCTAGAAACGGTGGCTTAGCCGGATGGAGGGAGCCAGCCAGCAGGGGCGTTCTGGAGAGGGGTTTCCGATGCACTTGATACCCTCTGTGCTCAGCCTGCCCATCTGGCCCCCACCTGTCCCTCAGCCCCATCCACCTCCCTCCAGGAGCTCTGCAGGGGCCTCACCTGTGCTATGGTTTCCAGATGTTTCGACTGGAGGCCACCCAGCCCTGGGAGCCTCCTGCTTTCTGGGCTCGGGGCTGGGCTGCAGTGGGGATCCACAGTCCCCCAGGACCGCCGTGGACATGGGAGCACTGGGTGACTCCTGGAGTGGCAACTCTTGGTCTGGGGAGCTTGGAAGGGCTTGGTAAAAGGTCCAGGAAGAGTCTCCTGGGGGGAAAGACAGGAAAGAAACTGCCAAATACTGAGCATCCCTTGTATGTCAGGCCCCTCCGTTCTGAGCTCTCACTACAATCCTTTGGGACGTGTGTTGTTAATCCCAGATTTAAAACCATAAAGATTAAAAAGAACCCACCTTACCCTTTCGAGGTCGCCTACTATTTCCTACTGTAGCCAACCACGAACTTACTTTCTGCCTTTCTAGATTTGCCCGTCCTGGACATCCCCTATAAATTGAATTTCATGCTATATGGTCATTTTTTTACTGGCTTCTTTGACTTATCATGTGTTCAAGGGTTATCCATGTTATGGCTCCTATCAGTACTTCATCCTTTCATTGGAAAATGATTTCTGTGTATGTAGAGACTGTATATTGTTGATCCATTAGTTGATGTACATTTGTGTTGTTGATGCTTTTTGCCTTTTATGAGTAACGGTACAATGAATTTTCATCATGAAAATTCACGCACACGTTTTCGTGTGAAGGTATGTTTTCATTTCTCTCAGGAGTCGGTAAGGTGTTGTTTTTTTTGAGGATGATTAAAATCTTCTAACATTGATGGCGGCAAATCACTGAGTTGGATGCTTTAAATGAGTGAATTCTATCTTGATAAAACTATCGCCAAAAAGAATCATAAAAATAGAGGCCCAGTTTTATTCTCTTAGTAGCCGGCCTGGAACTTCCTTTCGGCGAGAACGTCTATTAGGTAGAAGATGCTGAGAAGCCACTTGGCCAGGTCGGGCGCCTCCTTTCTAGGACAAGTAGTTACCAGGTGGCATCTAAACCCCAGGGCAAGTTGGGACAGGGCAGCATCGCTCTGCATCATGGTCATCACGGGGGAGAGGCAGTGGGACCGGATGCTGCATGGGGGGGGTCGTGGGGAGACAGATGCAGGCGGGGGCACCAGGGGGCCTTTGTGGGGGACATGTGACCGGTCTAACCCTCTCCCGCATAGTATGTCAGTAGAACTGCACCGCACACTCACACTTCTGTGCAAATGGACTCTTTGGTGTGGGTCACAGACGTGCCCATTCTGTACTAGGGGGTGGGGCTGGAGGGGAGACTGTGGAGCGTGAAGGCTCAGCTGGGGAAGCAGGGACACGGCGGGGCCAGGGGATGAAGTGACTTGCTTCAGTCACACAGAAAGCAGGTGAGGTCAGGGGAATGAGGGCAGTGGAGCTCAAGCTTGGGAGCGGAGAGGGGTGCTGGGCACCAGGCGGAGGGAAAGCAGAGGGGCTGCGAGATCAGCAGCGGGGACTTCCACAGAGGGGTAGCAGGAATGGCTGGTTCCAGGTTCCAGCCCTGGCTCTGTCTGCAAGCGCTGCCTGAGCGTGGACCAGTGCTTCCACACCGGGCTGAGGCGGCCATGCAGAACCCAGATGACAACAGAAAGAGGCAGGGTGTCATTAAGATCTGCGGCCTGGGTAGGGGCTCCTAGGTGGTACAGTCGGTTGAGCATCTGACTCTTGATTTCAGCTCAGGTCATGATCTCAGGGTTGTTAGATCGAGCCCCACGTTGGGCTCCATGCTGAGCGCAGAGTCTGCTCGAGATTCTTTCCCTCTGCTCCCCTCTCCTTCTCAAAATAAATCTTAAAAAAAAAAAAAAGGATCTTCGGCCTGGGTGACTCAGGATGGTGAAGGCTATAATAAGAGAAGTCAGGAGAGGGAACTACGCAGCACTGAGGAATGAGCCTGCCCTCCTCTTGGGGCTCATCAGAGTCCACCTTGGAACTTTCTGGACTGCCCTGGCCCTGAGGATCTTCGGAGCCCGCCAAGATAACCCGCTGAGCTCTGCCAGGGCAAGGGCGGTGTTCCATGTGGCACCCGGCGTGGTAAGACCTGCCGCCCGCCCCGCCTGGCTCTCCTGTCCCCATCTTTCACTTCGGACGGGGTGTCACCGCAGTGCTGGAACCTTCCAGAAGATCACTTCCAGGCCGCCTGCCTCCACCCCCCCAGCCTGGCTCTTCCATCCCTCTTCCTTCCACCCAGAGCCCCACGCAGCCCCAGGCTCACCTGGGTGGAATCCGCGGGGGGCCCCGGGGCCGGCACGGCCAGCCTTCCGGTTCCGCCTGTGTCCAGACGTGTCCGGTGGCTGTCTCCAACACCCCGTCTCCGCGTCCTGGACGAACCTCAGCACGTCGGTGGAGGTGGGCCCGCTGGGGGACTGCACGCTGGGTGCACTCTGGGAGCAGGGGAGTGGGGGGGCAATTGGCTGCGGGAGGCAGACACAGAGGTGGGGCTTGGGGCCGGGAGGGGCAGGACCTGGGGACTGAGGCCGGGGTTCTGCGCAGGAAGCCGCTCTGCTCTCTCCACCGGGACAGGCCAGGGACCCGCGCGCGCCCCGGAAACCGGATTTATGGAGCACTCACTGGGTGTCAGGCTGTGTGCTAAATGTTTCCCACGGATGATTTGGTTAAAGCTCGCATAGTCCGAACAGAGGCCGGGAGGCACGAAGGGGCCGGCCGGATGGCGTGGCGCCTGCAGCTGCCGGGCTCCCGAGGCCGCGCCCCCACCGCAGACCCGGCAGGCGCCTGGGGCTGTGCGCCTCCTCCCCCGCCCGCCCGGACGTCGGCCCCTACCCCCAGGCCCCGGGGGAACCGCAGGGCGGCCTGGAAGTGCACTTGGCGAGGAGAGGGGTCCCGAGTCGCTGCCCAGAGGAAGGCCTGGGGGGGCTCCGGGGTGGGGGTCCCCAGGGGGCCGGGGGCCAGGCGATGGCCAGTGGACAGAGGGGGTTTTGCCCTCACCTGGCATGAAGGCCGCCTCTGCCCCGGCCTGGGCGCACAGCCCGCTCGGGCCCATCTGCTCCCAGGTGCGGAGGGCCAGGTCCCAGGCCGGCTGCTCCCCATACTGAGCCACCAGGCCTGAGGCCACCTCCATGCCATCTGCCTTCTGCAGCTGAGCCAGGGTGGCGCTGGGAGAGGGCTTGCAGAGCAGCTTCTCAGGCAGCCAAAGCTGGAACTCCTTCAGTTCATCCTTCCCCATCACGCCTAGGTACCAGGCCAGCCGCCACTGGGCTCCTACGGCCATCCCTGCCCTGCTGAGGGACCTTGGGGATGTGCACGGCGGGCTGGGCTGGAGGTGGATGCAGAGGGGCATCAAGCAGGCAGAGGACAGGGTCTCCCTTCACCTTTGCCCCTCCCCTGGCCCAGGGCCAGACCCCCACCGGAATCATTCCTCTGCACTTGGTAGATTTTTCTTCCCTGGTACAGACCCCAGGGCCTCTGCGGTTAGGAGAAGGGAGGGGCAGGAGAGGGAGGAAGGGCTGTGGGAGGGAGCAGCCCAGAGGGGCCGGGAGACACAGACGAGCCCAGGCTCTGTGGGGACGCTGGAGTGGGGTGCAGCCAGCCAGAGACACTCACCCTTCTCTGCTCCTCAGGGTCCCAGCCTGAGCCTCGATGGTGCTGGGAAGTGGGCTGAGCTCAGAGCCAAGTGCTCCCAGGCCCCATCAGGTGCCTCTTGGCCGCGGGACACCGTCCACGGAGAAGAGCCTGTCATGCAGAGGACCCCAGGCTGGGTGTGCCGGGACAGGGGAAGGACCACCTCCGCAGGTGGGCGGGGGATGGGGCGCAGACCCACGACACCCAGTGCCTTTCCAGCCCGGGTGTGGACTGTCCGGGTAGGTGGGCGTCGGGCAGGCAGGGCGCTCCAGAAGGGTGGGGTCCCCTGAGTCAGCAGGGCAGCTCCTTACTGAACTGCTCCAGCCGGGCCAGGGAGCCGCCCCCAGCCTCTCCTGGGTGGCAAGCCTTCCCGAGCCCCACTGCCCATCCTGCCACGTCACGTGTGCATTCCTGGCCCCGGGGTCGTCTGCTTGCCCACAGTCAGCTAGGAGACGTCCGGCCAGAAAGTGGAATGGCCCCCACCCCATGGCCACAGAGCCAGGCCTCTGTGGACACGGCACAGGCTTTCTTTCTCTTTTGTTGAAAGGAGAGACGTGAGCAACGGATCTCTGTTGCCTAACAGTTTCTGGAGATGCCTTGATTTGACAAAGCGTCCGCTCGTCTGCACGCAGCCTCCTCCTGTGGCCGGTTCCTTCCTCTGAGCCTCGGTTTGCTCCTGTGTTGGGGGGATCTGAGCCCTCCATGAGGGACCCCACGGCCCTGGACGGTGGGAGGTAAGCCCGGGTTAGCGCAGGCTCCGTGGGCTTAGGGCTCAGCCCCACAAGACCGCCCCCCTCCGGTGTCAGGTGCACATGGGGTGCCCAGGTCACCCTCCCGTCTGCCCGATTCGGTGACAAATTCAGAGGTTCCCCCCCTCCGACCCCTTTTCAGATTTGTTATTTGTGATTATTTGCTAGAAGGACCCAGAGGACACAGGACAACGTTGTCCTTAGCGGCTTATTATCAAGGATACAAGTCAGGAGCAGGCAGGAAGGGGTGCAGAGGGCAGGGTGTGGGGAGGGGGCGGTCCAGCATCCCCATGTGCTCACAGCACGGAAACTCTCTGAACCCTGTCATTTAGGGGCTTTATGGAGGTTCCATTTCGTAGGTGAGATTAAGACATTGGCCTTGGGGATTAACTTACCCTCCAACCCCTCTGTCTGGACATCCTGCCTTGGTCTTTGGGTGAGCAGCCCCCGCCCTGCAGCTCTGGGGGACCCAGCCACCTGCCATCCTTGTTAGTGTGCAGACTAAGAGCCTGAGGGTTTTAGGAGCTGTGTGCCAGGAACTAGGGACAAAACCCAAATATTTACCTTTTAATACATCACAAGGTGGGGGTGTCCTAGGATTCTGGATAATGAGGGAGACCCCGGGTCTTGGAGGCCAAGGCCAGGCAGAGAGAGGCTGACAGAGCAGAACAGAAGCAGAGACATGCACCCCTCCCCCCCAGCCCAGTGACCTCCACGGCTGCCCACTCACCTGTCCCCACTTCTCTTGGGCGTCTGACCTGGGCTGTGAGCGTGTCAGCTTTGGCACCCCTAGGCTATCAGACACGGAGTGCCTGAGTCCCGGACTAAACTTTCATTTCAGGCGTCTGAGGGGGGCGTGGAGGCCCAGAGAAGCAAGGGGACTTGCTCAAATCACACAGCAGGTCAGTGGCTCAGCTGGGGCTGGGGGCCAGGTGTGTGGATGCCCCAGTCAAGGACTTCCTCTGCTGGCTCATTAATTTCTAGGTCAGCAGGATTTGGAGGGAAGAACACAGGCTTTGCATCCACAGGGCCCGGCTCTGCCCTTAGCAGTTCTGAAATCTTGGCCAAGTCACTTACCTTGCTGGCCCTCAGCATGGACATCTGTAAGTGGGGGGGGGGGTCACGTCTACTCAGAAGGTGTAAAACCGAATAACGCACATGAAGGCAGTGAACAGAACTGCTGGACCACTTAACAGGTGCTTAAAATAAGTTGACCTATTCACCCTATCTCCCCTTTTTAAAATTTCCCCTGCCAGTAATCCTACTCATTTTTGAACAGCCAACCCAAGTGGCACCTCTTCCAGGAAGCCTCTCCTGCTTTCACTTTCCATCCCCTTGTTGCCTTGTGTTTCCACCGTCTGTGCCTGGAGGCAGCTGGTGCCAGGAAGAGCACAGGGGCTTTGCTTCTGGTTGGTCCGGGGTCTTCGGATGCCTCTGCCGCTAGTTCACTGTGACTCTGGGTCATGTCAGCCTCACGTGGGACAGGGACAGAGCAGAGGGTCCAGAAACGCCATTTACCTGCTCCTCAAGCTCATGGGTTCCTTGGAGGCAGGTACCTGAGCCTTATCTGTTTTGCACCTAGGAAAGTAGCTCCCTGCTTTGCACGGCCTTTGCACATTCAGATCATATGTGTGATGAAGGAGTGATTTGAGATATTATTATTTTTTTTATTGGAAAACTTTTTTCTTTCTTTTTTTAACTTTTTTACTGTTATGTTAATCACCATACATTACATCATTAGTTTTTGATGTAGTGTTCCATGATTCGTTGTTTGTGCATAACACCCAGTGCTCCACGCAGAACGTGCCCTCTTTAATACCCATCACCAGGCTAACCCATCCCCCCACGCCCCTCCCCTCTAGAACCCTCAGTTTGTTTTTCAGAGTCCATCGTCTCTCATGGTTCGTCTCCCCCTCCGACTTACTCCCCTTCATTCTTCCCCTCCTGCTATCTTCTTCTTTTTCTTTTTTCTTAACATATATTGCGTTATTTGTTTCAGAGGTACAGATCTGTGATTCAACAGTCTTGCACAATTCACAGCGCTTACCACAGCACATACCCTCCCCAATGTCTATCACCCAGCCACCCCATCCCTCCCACCCCCCACCACTCCAGCAACCCTCAGTTTGTTTCCTGAGATTAAGAATTCCTCATATCAGTGAGGTCATATGATACATGTCTTTCTCTGACTGACTTATTTCACTCAGCATAACACCCTCCAGTTCCATCCACGTCGTTGCAAATGGCAAGATCTCATTCCTTTTGATGGCTGCATAATATTCCATTGTGTATATATACCACTTCTTCTTTATCCATTCATCTGTCGATGGACATTGAGATATTATTTTAATTTTCATTTCACTGGGACAACTTCATGCACCGCAGAGACTACCATTGTCCCTACTATGCTCTGTGTCCTTCCAGACAGACAGACAGATGCAGACACACACATGCAACTATATAAAATACATAGCTTTGCTGGGCTACACAATGTGTTTATTGTATAACCTGCTCATCTTTGTTACTGTGTCGTACTTGATACAGAAGGGCCCTGCCGCTCCCAGGCTTTTCATCTCAGCCAGTAACTGCTCAGGGCCCCAGACGCCGGGGTCACCCTTATACCCTTGCCACCTCTCTTTCCCTCAAACCCCACATCCAGAGCCTGACTTCTCACTGTGCCCATGGGTCCCGCCCTGGTGCAGACCCCCATCATCTTGTATCCTGAGCATTGCAGTAGCCTCCTAACTGTACCTGGACCATTGCAGTAGCCTCCTAACTGTACCCAGACCATTGAATTAGCCTCCTAACTGTACCCGGACCATTGCGGTAGCCTCCTAGCTGTACCCGGACCATTGCAGTAGCCTCCTAACTGTACCCAGACCATTGAATTAGCCTCCTAACTGTACCCGGACCATTGCGGTAGCCTCCTAGCTGTACACGGACCATTGTGGTAGCCTCCTAGCTGTACCCGGACCATTGCAGTAGCCTCCTAACTGTACCCGGACTGTTGCAGTAGCCTCCTAGCTGTACCCGGACTCTTTCAGTAGCCTCCTAGCTGTACCCAGACCATTGCAGTAGCCTCCTAGCTGTACCCGGACCATTGCAGTAGCCTCCTAACTGTACCTAGACCACTGCAGTAGCCTCCTAACTGCCCCCAAGCTCTAACTGCCCCTTTGGCTGTCTGTCTACTGTCCATCTGGCAGCCAGAATTACCCACTTAAAACATAAACCAGGCCAGGTCACTTCTCCACTCAAAATCTTGCAATACTCCCCATTTCTCTTGGAGTAAAAGTCAAAGTCCCAGTAGTGCCTCACAAGGCCCTATATGATCTGGCCCCTGAGGTCTCTCTGATTTTCTCTCCTACCTCCATCCCCTCTGGTCTCCTTTCTGTTCCTTGAACACACAAAGAACGCTCTCACCCCAGGGCCTTTGGACAGGCCCTCCCATCCTCTTGGGATGACCCCCCCCCATAGCAGAAAGCTTGTTTCCTCGCCTCCTGTACAGCCGCCTCTCTTCCCTCCCTGAGACCCCTGACCTGATGTTTCTGCACCATCTGGCCTCAGAGGTGTGCTTGTTGGCTTTGGGTTACCCTCACCTGCCAGTAGGACGTTAGCTTCCTGAACACGGGGTGGGGTGGGGGGGGTTGAGACCACTTTGCTCACGGGGAGCACTGGCCGTGGATCAGCGCTGTCCACGCTGAACTGCCGGCTTCCTCCTTGTCCATCTAAACAGTGCTCACTGTGGCCACTGGATGGCACTGGAGTCCTTTCTGTGCCTCGAAGCCAGGTCCTGCCTCGGTGGCCGGAGGACCTGCAGGTGTGCTCCCTCTGGGTCTGGGTGTTTAGTTCCCTGGTTCTGGTGCCTTGGGTCTTTGCTCTCGGTCTGATGTTTGGGGGCCTT